TAAAGTAGATTAGTATCCTTGTAAAAAATTATTGTAAAGGCTGTGACTTTTTTGGGGGGAGGGTGGTGCTTTGTCACTATCTCGTATTGCTCACAAAAAAATATATTAATTGCGCGGCGAATTTAAACACACGAATAATTTATTTTTGCTAATTTACCATACTTATACCGTAATTTAGACATAATAAGTGGTGAGTTGAGATACGCTTGCTGTAAAAAGTTTCAAAAGAGGGCTAATTCATTATAATAGCAAGTTTCACAGCAAGAGAGCATAGGAAAAAATTTGGGAATTAGTGGAGAGAAGCGCTGACTTCCAACGGATGTTTATTTTGCAGCATGGGAGAATACACGCGTGCAGATAAGATTAAATACGAGCCCTCTCAATACATCGACAGTCAAATCTGCGCTGTGAAACTTGCCATAATGCACCCAGAAAAACAAGTCCATGCTTCCACTCTTGTTAGCTACATTCGACATAATACTTTCCAAATGGTTTAACGACATACGTGGGTGGTTCAGCTGCGTGTGTGATTCAATACACGAAGCATCAGAGGCATGTTGCGGTAATCATATTTAGGTCTTTCCAAACGGCATCTTGTATCAACGCGATAGCATGAAAGAGCTCATTTCGAGGAAACTGTGGTGTCGGCGTGGGCGTCATTGTTTGTTAGCGAAAAAAGATTATGTGCTTAGTGACAAAAAAAAAAAACATGAGACAAATGCGAATCAAATAAATAATAAAAATATCTGGGTCAGAGTGAGGATGGAAACCATGCTGCCTGCGTGCTAAGTAAGTGTTCTACTATAGAGCAACGCGTATTCTTAAAAAAAAAATACTGCGCCAATGATTTCCTCTGCTTGAAAATTTAGTGGCAATATTTTTCATTAAAAAAAGAGACACGTCTTGTATAGAGGCTTTACAATGAACGCGTAAACTGCGTGGCACAAGCGTACATTGCGATCAGGTGTCAGAACACGTGATTATCCTTGTGAGTTCATGGTTTAAAACTAGCCCCCCCCCCCCGCCCCCCCCCCAAAAAAAGGCACACAAGTTACTGCACGCATTTCCTTAAGACCACGTAGTGGGTTCATAGCCAGTTGAAAACATTTCACGAGCGTAACTTCTTGTGCTTTGAAGCATGCTACCTATCACACAGAATGCAGTCATGTGAGAAAGCTTCCCTAACAAAGCCACTATCAATTTTATTGATTAAATTGTAGTAAACATCAATTTAAACTTCTCGGTCGAGTGACATAATATATCGAAAAAGTATGCACTAAAGGGTTGAAGCACGCACTAGGAAGAGGACATCGCTGTCGCGTTCAACTCATAAAGGCGAAGCTTAAGGATCCCATGTTTTTTTTTTCCGGTTATTTTTGGGAATTACGGTGATTGATTGTATGTTACTTGATCATGAGACAAACGATCACTATTTTGTGAATATTTCTGTCTCAAGGCACACCGTGCCATTCTTTTATTATTATGCAACAATCAAAAACAAGATGCGAATGTAGACAGGTCTCAGTTTAATTTTTTCTGAAGCGCATTCTGGCATCTTCGCGATTACGGTATCTGACAGGCACAAAAATTTGACATTCAGCGTCAAGCCTACGGCAGATTGTAGGTTGGGAAACTTATTAATAAGCTGACTCACCCAGACTCAGGTAGAGCGGTGAGTCTCAGTGAGTGACATTATCGTGCGTTTGAGTCTGAGTGAGTCAGGTTGAGAAAAAGTTTTGTGAGTTTAGGTCGCAGTGAGACCTAAGCCCTAGTTATATTTTTTCGAGTTTGAGTGAGCTGCACATTGTTTCGCCGACCTATGATCTTATTTGATCAGCTTCAGCATTTCTGCGAGCCTTACGTCGGCTCACTTTTAAACACACCTACGTCTACCCACACATAATTAGGCGCACTAGAGGTCACATGCCAGCTCAATATTTGGTAATCAGAAGCGTGAGTTGTGAAGGCAGAGAGAGAGAGAGGAGGGTGGTGCCTGGAATTCTGCATGTAAAATCTTTGACGAGAAGTTCTTCACAAAAATAGCTAAAAAAGGGAAGGCGAAAAGCAAGCCCCAAACATTAAACTAATAGGGTGGGGGACTGCGATTACCGCCTGGGGGTGCGAAGTCATGCCTCGTACATTATATAAGAGGGGCGTTGCTGCGAACTTCCCCTGCAGGGTAACTCTGCGCACGCCTACGACACTAAGACACACCCGTCTGCACCGACTGGACCCATTTCTTCGGCTTTCTTCACCCATCAGCTACTTTCCCAACTATTGACAACCACGCTTTCTCGACTGTGGCTTGGTTGCCACAGTCGACATAGCGGTGCAATGTACCACTGCTTGCAATTACTGCTGCAACGTGGAAACTTCGGAACATCTTCCTCTGTACTCGGTAAAGCGCTGTAGCGGTATGCCACAGCTAGCGATTGAGGCCAACTGTGCTGATAACAAAATGCTGTATATCTTCGTGCTGTTTACAAACGCAGGCCCTGGACGGTTCCCGGTTTTGCACTTCGACACAGCCTGATAGCATTGGCGAGAAACCTCACTCATTTCGAGCACTTTTCTTTTGTGACCGGGCAAATATTTTAAATACATTTTCTTTTACGCTACACACAATATTGAAATATATATTCTAGTTTAGAGCACCTTCTTTTTTTCCTGAAGCGGGAAGACTTCTTCCTTACACCACTGCAACAGAAATAAACAAGCTTTCCGTTTCAGGGTTAGGGAGCGATAATTGAAGACCGAACGTTTCTTGGGACGCAAAAACGTGCTGCTGCTGTATTGAATTTTTGAAACCTAGCTGTAAGGTGATTAGTCGTCGCAACGAAAGACCTTAAAGGCATTATTGCTTTGATTTTCGTATACTTGACAGGGGCCTGTTAGAGAGACTCTGATAGGCTTAATCTCGACTCTAATCTCGAGTCCCTAACGCCCGCTTCCTTTTTTTCTTTTAATATTTACTTCTAAGCTCCTTTATTGGCGTTTTTCCCTTTTCCCTTAATGTAGAGTAGCAAACCAGATGCTAAAGTTCTGGTTAACTACCATGACTTTCCGTCGTCTCTCTACCTATAGCTTTTCATTTCACTTTTTCTCCGTGACTTTGGTGCCACAGATTGCTTGTTTTCTCCCAACCGATGTTAAATTACTATCTGACGGTGCGTGGTCATGACAGCAGTTGCTTGTGCCACCGACTCTTTTTGTAGCCAAGATAAGACTCAGGTATAAAGGGAACATCTATCAGATACGGGTGATGAAATCGTCAAGCTCTATCTCGGCAGACCCCCGGCAGTGAAACACCAGGAATACTCGGGCTCTCCCAACGAAAATCTTGACAGAGACTTTTCACAGCAAGAAATCAGGGCAGTCCTGCAGACTATCAAGACCAAGTCAGCTCCAGGTCCCGACAAAGGGTCCAACAAGATGCTCCGGAACCTGGACGACCAGGGAACGAGCCGTTTGACAGACTTCATCAATGAGTGCGTGAGAAACGGGGAGATACCCGACGAATGGAAACAAATCCGACGTGATCCTCATTCCTAAGCCGGGTAAACCCCTAGAAATCCAAAACATGCCGCCCATCTCCCTCACTTCTTGCGTCGGTAAAGTAATGGAGCATGCTTGCCTGAACAGGGTTAACGGCTACCTTGAGTCTAACAACGTATACCGCAGCAACATGATCGGCTTCAGAAGAGGGCTCTCCATACAAGGTGCCATGATACAACTAAAGGAGCAAGTAATAGACCCCATTGGACGAGGCATGAGGGCAATAATTGTGCTAGATCTAAGGAAGGCCTTCGACATGGTCGAGCACGCAGTCATTCTAAAACGAATTGCACAACTCGGTCTAGGGAGCGCACGTACAAGTACACCAGAAATTTTCTTACGGGAAGAACTCCAACGGTTAGACTGGACAAGGAGGAGAGCATCCAAGTGGACATGGGCAGCGCTGGCACACCGCAAGTGTCCGTCTTGTCACCGATGCTGTTTAACCTTGCCATGATTGGATTATCAGAAAAAATTAGAGCGAATCGAAGGCATCAATTACACAATTTATGCAGACGACATTACGATTTAGACCACGCAAGACACCAATGAAGGCGAGATGGAGAATAGACTTCAAGAGGCGGTGGATGCAGTCGAGAGTCATCTGGATGGCACCGGATTGGAATGCTCACCGGGAAAATCAGAACTGCTACTATACCACCACAAAAGACTAGGCGTATACATTGCAGAAACGTAGCAGAATTACACAAAAGAATCAGGATAATCACTAGAAATGGCACGGCGATACCCTTGGTTCAGAAGATCAGAGTCCTGGGTCTCTATATTGAAGCCAGGGGAACCAATGGGGAAACTATAACGCGCCTGGAAAAGAAAGTAATGGGAGCCGTTAGGCTAATACGAATAGTATCCAATAAACGAAGGGGCATTAAAGAAAGAAACGTTGTACGACTCGTCCAGGCCTTTGCGATCAGCCATGTCACGTACCTAGCGGCGTTCGTCCACTGGAACAAAGCCGAGAAAGACAAAGTCGACGCGCTGATTAGAAAAGCGAACATAGCTGCGCTAGGTCTACTGCAATACACAGAGAACGAAAGGTTGCTACAACTCGGAGTACATAACACGCTGGATGAGATCGCTGAAGCACAAAGGATAGCGCAACTCGAACGATTGTCTGGAACCATGGCGGGTAGAGAAATCATCGAAAAGATCTCCATTAAGTACCATGGAATGAGAGGTCCCAAGAAGCAGATTCACCCTGACGTCCGGTCTGCGATAATTACGGAAAACATCCCAAAAAATAAGCACCCTGCACACATCGTTGAGAGACGAAAATGCCGCACGAAAATTATCCTTAAAAACCACGGCACGTGGGAAGGTGTGCTTTTTGTAGACGCCGCCCGGTTTTCCCGAAATAATAACTTCAGTATCAGGGTTGTGCATGGCTCCTTCTTCGCAATGGCGGTCATAGACACAAATGAGAAGACCTTGACCGTGGGCTCCGTAAGGACCAGATCGTCGGAGGCAGTGGAAGAAATGGCCGTTGCACTGGTCGTAGTCAATGGTCGAAAACACGATGGCCATTAGGAATTTCGTAGTCAATGGTCGAAAACAAGATGGCCATTAGGAATTTCACAAAGGGATGGGTCTCCACCGAAGCAGCCAAAATCCGGAACCGCCGAGCAGAAGACTTCCGGAACGGTAAAATTGTACCCAAATACCTCAAGTGGATCCCGGTGCACATGGGGGAATTAAACATCGAAGACACGACCATCCCTCAAAACCTCAACGAGAAGGCCCACCGAACCGTGCGAGAACTAACCCACCACGGCTCGGACAGCGACGGCCCGGCCCCCCGCACCCACCACAGAGGGGGAGACGACTCCGGTGGAGGCGATGGGGACGATGGAGGTGATGACAATAATGAATATGCGATACAAGACGACAGAGACAGGCTGGTCACATATCGTGACACATTGGCACATTATAAGCGACAACGAGAAGAATATCCGCCACCACACAAACAGCTAATCAGATCTCAAAAAACAGATCGGTGAAGATTGTAAACCAGAACCTTTTTAAATCCAGTACACCTGAACAGAGTAAATTCCTGACGATACCCGCAAACAAGCTGTACCCTCTGTAAGTACGAACACGCAGATATGGCAGATATTCTATGGCAATGCACACAGGTCACAGTAATATACCGAGAGGACAATACAAAAGCGGACCTCCTCGAGGAGCGTTGGCTAAGTGCGCTGACTAGCTCAGATCTGCACGACCAACTGTGGGCAATCCAGCCGGCCCGGACAGCGGTGGAAAGGCTATTCCTCACCGCAAAAAAAAAAAAAAAGCAAACGTCGTTGTGGGCAGGGTTTCTTTTTTTAAATAAAGTTTTTCCATCCATCCATCCATTTGTTGCTTCGTGCAGCAGTGATTACGAGGCCGACAAGAGCGGATCTCAGTGCGTGATTCCATATACACGGTGTTTCAGAAAATGTGTTGAATATTGTTTAAAATCAGTAAAACACGCCACTTGCTCACTGTCTTATCAATTGCTTGTTTCTGTAGCGGCAGACATCTTAAGAAAGTCTAAGACATCATTTAGAATGGTAATGAGAAAAGTTAAATGACTTAACTTGTTATTTATTGGAGTTCGGCAGTTAAGTCAAATAGGACAATTGAGGCTATTGATGCGGAAAACGCACTGCTGCATTGAAATTACAAAAAAGCGGCCTCAGTAGTAACGACTACGAATTAATACAATTCTCATGAATTCTGCGGCCAAAGCGAAAAACGCGAACCGAAGAGCGTAACAAGCAGACGACTACAAATGGCGTCACTCTTTTTAACAGCGGTTACAGGGTTGCAATTTTTCCCCGTTCTATAACGTATGTGTGTCATGCGGGCGGTAACTGCGAGTGCAGCCCACACACCAACACAACGAAGTTCAAGTTGATATAAAAACGCTCCCTCATTTAAGTTATGCTTTTTGGCGTTTCGGTTTCCGTTTCGCCGCAGACTCGAGGAGAATTTTGTTAATTCGCAGTAATTACTAGAGGCTGATTTTCCGAGATCTCAAAGCGGCAATTAGTTTTTCGCATGAAGGACTTCAAATTTACGATTTCACTAATCTGCCTAACTCCTCTAATTAAAAAGGTATTTATTGTAACTTTCCTAATTACCGTTACAAATAATATCGTCAACCTTCTTAAGATGCCTTCAACTGTATAAAAAGCAACTGTCAAGACAGCGAGCTAATAGCGCCTATGCCTGATTTTTAAAACAACTGTACGCCTTTTTTAAAACACCCTGTATGGCTTTGATTACCGTGCATTGAAGACCACATAAAAAGTGTTCAATATTGCAAGATTTGCAAGGGGTTCCGTGTGGCAAGATTTTATTGAACAATAGAAAAGTCATGTGCCATACATGAACGAGCACTCATTAAAGGATTTTATCGTGTTCAACTTCCTGTGAAGGCGAAAGGCAAACTACAAACCTGTATATACTTTGATATACGAGGGCATTAGGAACTCAGAGTGGTCAATATTGATGCACTGTTATCCGCTATGAAGTCAAGCGTAGGCTACAAACATTTAATCGAGAGAAAAAATATTGAGTGTTTTTTCACAACTTTTGCAGGCGAAGATTGCATATTATGTTCGCACGCGTCACATTGTTTCTGTTACACCCACAGGAGAAGATTAACCACTGTCACCCTAACATTAACAATCTTAGGGAACCACGCGCTGTTGAGAAGCTCTGAATGTCTGATTAATGTTCATTCAGTTGATCTCCGGCACAATCTAAATCTATAGTTTACATAAGCATTCAGGGCATGTGCATAAGTTGCTTACTGTAAAAATAGCATGAAAAGGTGGTCAGCCAACGAAAAAGGGAATTTATGAACGAAACTTTTGTGATTTTTTTCTATGAGAAAAGAAGATAATTAGGCTAGTATGAAAAAAAAGGTGACGAATATTTGCTGTATAGTGTACTTAAGGAAAAGTACTATAGGAAAGTACATAAAATGAAGCCTGTTCAATATCAAACACCATTCTTCGCATGAAAGTATTAAAGTGTACATGCGTCGCTCATCCCAGTCATCGCATGCGTGCACGAAAACTGAGGTGAGAAGGCATAAAAAAGAATACAAGCTACTTTACCAACAAAGATGTCGACGTTGCAGATGAGCCCAAATACCCAAAGAAGCAAAGCGTGGCGCTCCATTTCTGGCCACTCAGCGTCAAACTGTCCACCGAGCGAAGCAGCCGCCGATGTGCGAATGTTGTTCTCTCTAAACAGCCCGCAATATTCCTGCCTCACCCGAAGCGCTATATTCAATTAACAGTTTTACCGGATGAACTGCAGGAAATGACCCCAACAATTATTGTCCCTCTTATCTCGAGCATGCAACATGTCGGTACAAAGGCCGAACAAGTGATGAGCAATAGCATATCTGCTTTGTACGGCAAACTACATGGTGACAAACGTACGGATATTGGAGTTTCGCACCAGATTAGATCCCCAGACACAAAAGCAAGCCATGTGGGATATGCTGCAATGCTGTAGCCGATCAGAATAGGGTCAGTGTACAAGGTCTGAGTTTCATCTGATGTCCTTTCTAAATTGAGATCTGTGCCCACGTGTCTAACCCATTTGGCAGAACTTTCTCTTAAGAACAGTTTGACAGAGTCAGACTTGTTGGTGAAGATGGGCATGGAACTGAATTGACGAAGATATATGTGGAGCTTATTTTTTAAGAGCCAAATGCACTTTACTTGACACTGAATAAAACACACTCTTTTGTCAATGACAGGACTGTCAGGCATTATTCCACACAGTTTTGATCATGTGTTCCGGTCCCCTAAATACCTCAAGTCTGTATTGCGGCTAAAATCTGCATATACCGATACAGTTGGTATTTTGGAGTAAAGTTAGTATTAGGTTCCAATAGATTGGAACACTTCATATGTGCCAGATTTAGCTCGTAAAATAAGCCTGAAAAGATTCGATTGTACAGTATTTCAAACAATATTTTGTAATAATATTAAGATCATCTCTGTGTTTCCATCGGTGTCGTTCTTTGTTGCATGGACGTAATGGCGATTACTGGACTTCAGGACTCAATGGTCCTTCCTGGCGAAAGGCGCAATATTCTGCGTTGTCGGCAGTGTTTTTCGTTCTTTCCATATATTGAATGCCTTGATAAGTTTTTTTTTTTATGTGGAGCCGTTTCGAATCGCTTCTTCCCGCAGGTCGCGGGATTGAATCCCAGCGGCGGCGGCTGCATATACATTGGAGGCGGAAATGTTGTAGGCCCGTGTGCTCAGATTTGTGTGCACGTTAAAGAACCCAAGGTGGTCGAAATTTCCGGAGCCCTCCACTACGGCGTCTGTCATATTCATATGGTGGTTTTGAGACGTCAAAATCTACGTATAAATAAATAAATAAATAAATAAATAAATAAATAAATAAATAAATAAATAAATAAATAAATGAATAAATAAATAAATAAAATAAATAAATTAATAAATAAATAAATCAAATTGCTTCTTTCCTTTCAAGCCTAAATAGATCGGAGCCAAATATTTGTGTTTCGCATGTATTTTATCTGAAATATATCTTCTCGAAGCAAAATAAAACATGAAACTGGCATGCCTAATTCCTAAAGAAATACTACGAGGCAAAAAGAAGTAGGAAAGCTGGCCCCTGACTCTTCATATTGGAGTTCTGACCTACAACGTGATGTCCTTCAGGAAATACGAGGTCACCCTAGAAAAAATAATTGTTAAACATAAACACGATATCAAATTAGGCAGCTTGGACCCTAATAAAATAGATTCAATGTGGCGTTGTTTTTTTTTTTGTATCGATTGTTGAGGCCGCATTGGTTAAATGAATGTGGCTCAGTTTAATTGGAGCAGATCCAGGATTTGGCAATTTTTTATAATAAACTTCTTTTCTGAGTTAACATAAGAATCAGGTATTGCCCCGTTTAGGTTCAAACTGTTTTAGAAGTTAGAGGTACTTAGGCACGCGTTGCGCTCTCCCGAATTTGAGCTCAGTTCCGGTTTCTCTATATTGATTTTTCCAAAAAAAGAAAAAATAAATAAAAACACACTCCCCATATTACTGAGAAAATGTGTGAAGTGTTAGGACCCAGTGGGCGAAGTTTTCGCTGAAACATTACTAGCGTGAGATGTTCTTTTTTTTTTTTGAGAATGCGGTCTTATATTACTAGAGTTTGTGGGGTTTTAAGGGGCTTCATCAGCGATATTGATTAGGAGGCATGCGTTAGTGAAGGGCTCCGGAAATTTCAACCACATGGTGTTCTTGTCCGTTGCACAGTACCTGGGCTTCCATCGTTTCGCCTTCATCAACAATCAACCAGGATGGTCGTGATTAAACCCTCAACTTTCAGGCCAGAAGCCTAGTGCCATATACACTGAAAAATCCTAGTGATAAATTTTAAATTAGTGAGTGAAAGAAAGACAGAAAAAATTGGCTTGATAACAACCCCATTAGCGGCTGCAACAGACTGCACACGGGCTGTAGCAAAAGCGCCTAACAGATTATGC